TCTATTGTGTAAGGAGGAGTTCTACAAGCAAGTAGATGGTGTGGCGATGGGCTCACCTGTGTCTCCCATAGTCGCCGACATATTCATGGAGGACTTTGAGGAGAAAGCCCTTCTTACTGCTCCTGTAAATCCAAGGTTCTACAAGCGGTACGTAGACGACATTTTCACAATTTTACCATCTGACAAAGTAACTGCATTTTTAGACCACCTTAACTCCATAAACTCTAAAATACAATTCACAATGGAGTTAGAGACAAATAATTCTTTAGCCTTCCTAGATGTTTTAGTCATCCGAAATCCTGATAACACTATTGGTCACACTGTGTATAGGAAAAAGACCCATACCAACCGATATCTAAATGGTGAATCTCACCATCACCCTTCACAGTTAATCTTTGTTTCAGAGAGCACGAGGGATCTGTGACAGAAAACATCTACCCGCGGAGCTTCAGCACGTCAAGCAAGTATTGCAAGACAACAAGCTTCGGGTCCCGCGCCTACGTCACAGTGAACGAGTGAAGCCGGCCACAGTCGAGCGCGCGCCTGCTCTACTACCATATGTCAGAGGAGTCACGGACAAGGTTGGCTACATCTTGAAGCGAGCGTCCATTAAGACATACTACAAGCCGCTGAAGAAGATTAGTCAATTTTTACCATCTATCAAATGTAATATTCCTCTACAAGATGCAGGTGTGTACAAGCTAGATTGTGAATGTGGTCTCTCTTACATAGGTCAAACAAAGAGATCTATAAAAACCCGCGTGAAGGAACATATAGCTGATGTGAAGCACCGACGCTCTGGGAAGTCTGCAGTCTGCGAACATGTTCAAGATCGTCCCCACCATTACATTAGATTTGATAAACCACAAATTCTCGCAAAAGAACACCGATTCCTACCAAGGATGATACGCGAGGCTATTGAAATTAAAAAACATCCAAATTTCAATAGAGAAGATGGTTGGGTGCTACCATCTGCTTGGGATCCTATAATTAACAAAATTAAATCCAAACCCAAGCATACCACTGCAAGACTTCATGATACTATAAGCTCGTTTTGCGTAAATCGGACTAAAAATTAATATTAAAAAAATGAAGGTAGCCGGACTAACTATGACATTGGGACGTCAAACATCTCAGTCCCCCCCGTGACCATGGGTGCTGTAAAGCACCCGAAACGTCGGGATAATAATAAAAATAAATTAAAGTAATTAAACGCGATAAAATCCGTAAATAATAGTTTTATTCAACATATGATTAACTTACTATACATATTTATTTGGCGATCTGATTTCCGAAAAGCATAGGCGCTCAAGCGACGTTGATTGATTAATTGCAAGAAATAATGTATCGCCATGACTGTAAATACAATACAGCGAATGTTGCGAGGTAACTAGTAAACATTTGACATTTTTATAACGAAGTCATATCGTTGTTACGAAACGTCCAAGCTAACATCAAATAGCTTTTAGATTAAAAGCCATTTTAACAAACATGACCGAGTGACGGTAGCTCCCTAATGGTATGAACCATTGTAGTCCCTAGCGAACTGCCATTTTTCCACCTTTCAATGTCATCCTCGCATCCCCGTGGGAGTTTGTAACTGCAAATTGTTTTCATGGTGATTTGATCTCTCTTTAACTTCTTTATCGAACATTAAAATGCAAATTCATAGGTATGTTATACTGTTTTATACTCATAGACCAACTATGCCCGCGACTTCGTTCGCATAGAATCACGAGATTTTCTTTAAGGCATAATACGTTAGTAATTTATTTTTTGGTACTTTATGGCTTTAAGCCTCATTGGATATATTTTATAAACTACACCACGGTTAAAACTCAAACAGTAATAGTATAAATAATTTTATACTTATGAAGTGCAATTTAATCATAAAAACCGAGAAAAATAGCGTGAAGCGATTATAGGAAATAACAAAAAAATTCTTCGGATTCCAATAGATGGCGGTATTATTATATTTTTACATCATGCGTAAAATAAAATACACAGATCGGCAAGGCACAGCAAGGTCAATGGTGCGATACGTATCGTACTGCAATGAGGGCTAAATCGTAAAAAATCATAACTCATAAATTTTTATTTGCAAAAATCACGGTACTCGTATAAAGAGATGTTACATTTTATCTAGTACACTCGTGTTTCGCTAACAATGGTAAATAGCATGCAAATACAGAATCGACAATATTAATTAATTACAATCTAAAAAATCTTTTACGTCGTAATAACATTCGGTTTTTAACCAATTAAACAAATGTTTCTTAAACAATCTTTCGCTTAATAATTTAAATTCTTTAGTAGCCTAATAGTCTACCGCCCAACAGATGTCGCTAGTTGACACTGAGTGAAGTTTTTTTGTTACACAATGTTAAATAAAAGTTTATCAGTTTCTAAAGTATTATATTAATACACAAAACAATGCCACAGTCGTCAGCTCCTTAATTTTTTTCACATTTTTTCATATTATTAACTCTTTTTTATTTATTTTTTTGCTTTTAAGGATATCTGCGGTTTATTTTATTTATTTTTAATGTATTAATATAAAATATAACTAATTATAAAACGAGAAACATTAACCTATACATTTTTCGAACCAACTTCCCCGCTATGATATCTGTCAAATTTTCAAATGATTTAATATAATTTTAAGTGACGCCGCCGCAACAAGAAGTTGTGGATGCCCTCGTCTTCAATCCGTCTGCCATGAGATCCTCCCCATGACGGAAAAAGCCTACGCTCATCTGTTTCTCTTTACTGGCTGATAAAGAAGACTTCGGCTTCTTCGGCTGTTTAAATTTTAAATCATCGGCACTAAAATACGCCCGCAATGCGTTTGAGTTCCTGACTTTTGTCCCACGCGTGTGGCATACTCCACCAGCGGCGTGTGCCGCTTGCTGAGTCTAAGAGGACCCTGCGGACACCAAGCAATCTGGTGAGGGCAATCAATGCGAGGTGCTGCTAGGTGGTCTTGCAGCACCTCGCGCTCAATTGGCGGCGCGTTTGCTGTCACGTGCAGCGCCGGCTCCAGATGCGCACCGCTGACCTCCAGCACTGACCCTAATTTATTGGTGTCAATTAACAGGAGACGCCCAGACCCGACACCATTTAATGGTTTAATCATATGTTCAAACGGACCTTGGCACCCTCAATTTTGCCGTGGCACTACGCTCCCAAAACCTTGTTAAGGTATTGACTGACTGCGCCGACGCGACGTAGCAGTTTTGGCACTTAACTGTTACGTCCCGTCGACGGGCGATGTGGTCGACATTTCCCTACGCCATTTTTTATTAGGATTATTATTTTATTTTTTATTTATTAAATGTTTTGTAATTGTAGTAGATAAATTTGATTACTATTATCTTTTTGTTTCTTGTAATTAATTGTATTTGTATTCTAGGTGACAATCTATAAAAATAAATATAGCTTTAAATGCGTGTACTCACTGACACTACATCTACGCTACATCTTTGTATGAATAAATAAATAAATAAATAAATAAACTGAATCATTGAAATATCAAATACTCGTAGTATCGATTGCAGCCTTGTGATATTGTATTCGTCACAACGTAATTCGTAACGTTCAATTTATTGCTGCATAAAATGTAATATATGTTTTATTTACTTTCATTTCATATTACTTTAGATTTATAACATATTATTTTGTTTTTTTTTTATGATGCAAAAATCATTTTTCGTATAAATCTTCATCTGATAACGAATTAATCGCATTAGTAACAAACGAACAATCTTGCACAGACTCCAACTGCCCCATCTCACTAAAGGGGGAGCAACGGCACAGATGGTCCGCTGTTATTGCCACCTTCATGCCTAGGGAACTTTAAGAGCGTAAAACGGTAATCAATATCTGCTTTGAGAGTTCTCTAAGGGCATGGAAGTCTTTTTATTAACTTTGGGCGTGTGTGAAATTCATTCAAATAACGTTCGATTATTATTTTTCCGATTTTCGACATTTAATTCTTTCTATTCTGTTTGATTTTATTTCTTATAAAAACATCACAAGTGATTGACGCTCCAATACGTTTTTCGTCTTTATAAGAATATTAGTTTTAATTAAAAGTAACAGCCGATTTCAAAGAACTCAATATTAATAGCTCAATATTAATAATAGGAACTCAATATTAATAAACTTTACAAAATGTTTATTGCAGAAACCACTGAAGAACATAAAAACATTAAGCCGTCTTACTTCAGAGAAATTTTTAGGACCAATTTTAACATAGGTTTTGGGTCTCCCCGAACTGATGTGTGCTCCACTTGCTTATGTTTACAAGAAAGAATGAAGCACGAGAAAAACAATGAAGCAAAAAATACATTAATGATCAAGAGCAGAATACATAAATTACGTGCCAAAGTATTCTATCGCTTATTAAAAGACGACAGCGAGAACCTTTTGATTCTATCTTTTGACTGCCAAAAGAATCAACCTTGTCCAAAAGTTCCCAGTCAAAGTGCTTATTACTTAAGGCTTATGTATACAACTTTAATGTGGTGGTCAGACATTCAAAAACGCCTTTGAATATTAATAATACATTTATCTACACTTGGACAGAAGATGTCTTGCCAAAAGCTTCAAACGACATAGCAAGCGCTGTGTTCCATTGTTTAAATACAATTTTTCTGAGTCCCGGTTTAGATCACACAACACAGGTTCGATTGGTGGCAGATGGCCAAAACAAAAATCAATCTGTTCTTGCTATGACAGCTAAATGGTTACAAGATCATGCACCAAAACACATTGTCGGCCTAGAAATCTTGTTTCTAGTTGTTAGCCATTCATTTTTGCCACCAGATGGAGTTTTTGCAAAAATTGAAAAAGAGATTAAAAGGCGTGAGATAATGACTAACCGTAATGATTTTTACGAAATTTTCACTGGTCATGGAACCGTATAATACTTGGGACTTGATATAAAAGTTTACGACTGGAAACTATCATCAGCTGAAGTCTTTAAATCTACAAGCAACATGCATTTCTCAATAAAGAAATCAAAAAGATTTTTTCTTAAAATAACTCGTGACAAACGAAATGTGTACATTCGAGCAGAAGAGTCTTATCAAAACAATTTAAATAAGTATCAAAACATTTGTAAAGGAAAAAAGACAGTTTCTGTTATAAACCCAGATGTGGTAAAGTTATACGTCGATGTAAAACAAGAAAAATTAAATGATGTAACCAAGTTATTAATCAAACATTTTGGAGAGAACTGGGAAGAACATATAAATTTATTGTATTTTAAACAAGTGTTATCAAGACCTAAACCATCTATTGCTCATGCTCATGAACACGATGATGAACAATGTGAGTTCACTGAAGAATTACCAGCTATATTTGTTTAAAGAAATTTCAGATATAATGCTGATATGATGAATAAAGGATTTAAAATAAAAGAAATCGATTTTAAAGTTTTATTAATTTATTGTTATTACACACCCAACCCAACCAACCCGAAATATTGGTAAACCCTGACATAATAAAGTTTCAGTATCAAAATCTGCCAAATCCATGGTACTAAGAATCAAACATGGTCAAATCCAACTACATTAGTAACAAAAATAGTCAAATGCATAGCTTGGTTTCGAAATTGGTCAAATCCAAACTTCAATCTCGATTTTCAAATTTTTTTTGGTCTATGGTTATAGACGTTTATTTAAAATCAGTAATACCAACTTAGGCGAAGCCATAACGATAAAAACTCTACATACAGCTTGTGCAATGAGCTCAGAACAAAAAATCCTTCATTCCCATAAGTCCTCCCGAATAGATTTGACAAGTTTTGTTTCTAATCGACAAACATACATACGTACATGTGCACCTTGAAAGAATTAACCACTGGACCCGACATAAAACACATATGTATGAAAACTCGTTCAACCAAGTGGAGAATAACGCACCAAAGATTTTATTACGTTAATATAAACACAGATACAAAATTCGTAGAAGTTCACTCTATTTCTAGTGCTTGAACGTAGTCGATAAAGTATATCGATGAACGACTGAGAAAGAAAAGGTGTATCGTAAATAAGCTGTAAGACAAGGGAAATAAAGGGATTAATAATAAATTTTAATAATAATAATAAATTTTAATTAAAATAAAAGAAGCAGGACATTGTTATGGACTTTTTATTCAACTAGTTATGATAAACGTCAAATTATTGTTAAGTTTAAAGTATTTAAATAGGCTATAGTTTTTATACCATTTAACTGAAGATTTAGTCATTTTTGGGAGATGTTTTGTTGACAAGTAAGTGCTTGAGACTGACGCAAAAACAAACGACCAAGGCTAGAATTTCCTGGTTACTGACAAGACCGCTATATGTAAGTTATATGTCGGGTCCAGTGGTTAATTCGTTCAAGATGTGCACATACCGACATCCTCTTAAAAACCATACTATTCGACTCTAAAGAACTTGAAACGTTGAGATATATTACAATTTCCAATTTTCAAAATCGGACCCATTACAATAACTTTCCACTGTGAAGTTAAAAACCTGCTAAGTTACTTAAATCATAAATACAAAGACAATATTTGCTAAATGTTTTGTGCATGGTAGAGCTACGTTGCCGCGTATAGTTACGACAGGTTCAGCTGGAGAATGACTTCGCTTGAATAGAATTACAGCGTAAGATGGGTGTATAGCACTGGATATCATTTTTGCCGGTAATGAGGCATACTATTCTAGTCCTCAGAAGTAGTTACGCATCAGTATTTTCGATCGATCGATATCGAGCATAGATTTAGCCATCTATGTGCCATACTGCCCACTTACCATCAAGTAGTCTATGTGTTATTTTGTGCCGCTTGCTTTTATTCATTAAAATATCTATTCATTTATTTATTCTAAAATGGTAGGCAGAAGGTCACATCAGAAACAATATATTCATAAAAGAATATATACACAATATGAGAAATGATAAATTAAAAAATCTTCAGTAAGTTATTATTTTATATAAGCCTATGTTTAGCTGTGGAGTTTTAAATGACTGTAACTCTTACGTCATTGACGTGTCTTCCCAGTATGCGTAATGTTGAGTATAATAGTAGTAAAGTAAAAGTAAAGTTATAGCCTATATATGTCCCACTGCTGGGTACAGGCCTCCCTTCATGTCTGAGAGGGTTTTAGGGCAAGACAGTGTCCGCCGCGCTGCCACAATGCGTGTTGGCAAACTTCACATGTCTTCGAAATATTTTTTATTCTCTTATTCCTCACACATGCAGGTTTCCTCACGATGTTTTCCTTCACCGCCGAGCACCTGGTAAATCAGCACTTAAAATTGCAATTAACAATTTCATTGGTGCCGGCGGGGATCAAACCCGGGTTACTCGCGTTCTGTTATATTTACAGCGAGCGTTAACCATCTGAGCTACCACGGCTCGTATAATAGTAGCCTGTTGAAAAATTAAAATTTGCATAAATTATTTTCTAATTTGCGTAGAATTTCATAATGAAATATTTTCTTTACATTTTTTAAATAATTCAGTTTGAGGATCCTCAAATGCTATGAAAAGATTATGCCATCAAAAACATAACTTGTAAAAAACCAAGCCTCGCAACTCAGTTTTTCTATCGTAAAAAGTTGTGAGATCCATGTAATACCAAGTCGGTTAATTTATTCAGTCATTACTTAAGGGTCCTTCTGTCTTAATTTATTACGTAATTAGGTAACATAACAACATATTATTGTGAACATATCAATATTAAAAATCATTTAGGTTTTAAATTAATAGATTGACTTGACCATCGCATGAAAACACAATGTATCTCACAAGTAAAACGTATTATATTAAATTAGATTGCTAAGTGCGATTTGGGGTTTTGCTAAGAGTAAAGTACAAATTAACATAGTATCGAACTGAACATTCCCAACGTTTTCCACATATTGAATTCATATTGCGACTTTTTTATCTTCAGTTTTGCCTCTAACGTAGAAGAACGCCTTTCCAATAATCTTGCTCCGTAACCTACTCTGTTTTTGCTACTGAAACCTCAGATTGTATAAAAATAATTTAAGTATACCTCGTTGGTTTAGTTGTCTAAAGTGCAACTGCTGTCTCGGGTTCGAATCCGGGGTTTAGTCAAAAGGAATGGATTCAGTTCGCGGTGTTTCACTTCAGGCTTCGGGAAGGACGTAAAACCATTGGTCTTTAGCCTAATCTCTTTCCGGTTGTTTGAAATTTCATTCCATCTGACTATGAGTGAGGATATAAAGAGTGCATCTGATTGTACACACACTTTTGCTCTATAATCCTGTTCTGTGCAGATGGCTAGTCTGCGTTGAGACTGGCCACTGTGTCTGAAATTCGGTCTGAAGAACATTATGACAATCATTAAAATTTTAGCTTAATTTGTGATATTTATAAAACTAACTATGAAAATTGAGGAAAATATTTAAACACGTCCTCAATAATTTAAATCCGAGTTCACATCAAAAGTTAGGCAATATTTCTTATATAAAACTTTCCAGAGGAAACACCGGAAAAGCTGCAATATTTCCAATCCAAACTTCTGCGAGTTTTGTTCGTTATTACAAAAGGATACATGAATATGAACAGAAAAGCTATTGAAATATTAACTGTTATATTAAAAATAGAAAAAATCATGAAACAAGGATTTATGAATAGATCTGCCCTGCAGTATTACATGCAGCTTGATATTTCATAAGTAAATTAAGAATAGTAATTAGGTTTAGATATTCGGCAGTTTGGCAACTCTAATTTCTAACAGGATATGGATGACACTAAATCGTAAAGTACTACATAATTAATTACACTGAAACCTTGAGAAAGCTTATTATTAGTTGGAGCACTAATTAAATATTAAAAAAAATATGGAATGGAAATCTCTATTGTAGTTGGCAGGTAGCCTGTATCAAGCTTTTTTGTCGAAGTAAGGGTGATAAACGAGCACACAGTACACCTGAGGACTAAAATGGAATGCCTTGTTAACAGTAAAATGGGTCTACTACTTTGGTATTTTCGTATGTAGATTTGATTATCAATATATTAATAAAAGGCGTTTTACTCAAGCTTTTTAGTTTACTTCGGCATATGGTGACGTTCTCCTAGTTATAATATTCTAATTACCGAAAAAACACTTCACTCATTACGCACATTATCATTGATACCCGATAGTTCTTTATGTACTTGTTCATAACAGCTGGAAATAAGTAAAGTTTGAATAAAATTGTTGACTTTGCTAATTTACAGCTTTAAATAAAATCTGCGATTTACAGTTTCATTGTAACATTCACATACCCTGAGCGTCCTAAGTCAGCTTTGGTAGGTTCCGTTATCGTGTCAAATTACAACACTCTGTCATATTAAGCATGTGAACTTTAGCTATAAGCATAGATTTTCCTCATAGCAACGTTGCTTGCACAGCTGTGTCAAACATTCTGACATCCATTTTTATACTTGTCTTCATTTATAAGTACCTAAGCTGAAAAAAATCTAAAGCCAATTTTCATTGAATAAATCTAGTTGTATTGACTTAATTTATTTTTTAAGATTTTAGTTATGAAATACGAAATCCATTTAAATATGATTTTATATCATTATCATCATTATTACACTTTATCACAACTTCAATGTTGCACTTTCTTATCCCTCATAGATCACCAAAGCACGGTACTGAGCTGCTTGCACCTATCGACTGACTGCACATTTCTTATAGTGGCAAAAGGCTAACAATGCACTTGAAATTGCTCTAGAGTTTAAGATATTCGTAGACATAGTCACTTACCATCGGGTGAGCTTTTAAATACAATCAAACTTTATTTTTCCCATTCTTGTTTAATCCAATTGAAAAAGTAAGCTGAATAATCGTCACGCACAACCATTTATTCGAGTAAAACAAAAAAACATCTGAACCTTAACGGAAGAGGGTTTTGTAATGCTTCCTCGCCATTAATCACTCTTTTTATTTGCTCGACTTTGTGCAGTTGAGCTCTTTAAGCAGATAATAAACTTCTTTGGAGAAATAGAATGTAAGAATTGAAAAGCAAAACGTAAGTTTTAAACATCAGACATTTTAAACTCGTGGATGTTTTTTCTCTTTAAGAGAGTTTAAAAGGGTTTCAGTGTTTCAGTGATTGAGTAATGAAGAAACAATTCATATGTTTTTTTTTTGTTTATATATTTGACAATATTCCAACGTTATCGTTCTTTCCTAATTGAGTTTCATAATAAAATAAATATTTGATACAATATTATATTTACTTACTCTTCTCTTCTAATCTTAACATTTCAATTCAATTCAATCTACCTGTACGATATGCATTGTTTGCGTAAACCATACTCAAGCTTTTTTATAGCTTTTAATTTAATGTTAAGTTAGTT